AAAACTTCAACGAATCTTTCTGCTTAAGATGCCTTCATTGTCACCAAGAGTATCTCGTTTTACCATGTGGTGGCACCCCAAAGGAAGTGGGAGTAAGTGGAGGTAGGCGAGCCTGCCAGGGTCCCATTCAGGTCCGAAAAAGTGAGACAATGAGTGTGCATGTCTTCAGCTGCTTGTATGCATTTATTCAAAGGTTTTAAAAATGGCCAGAAAGTTTGTTTTTCCGTGTGGTGTGGTGTGGTGTGGTGTGCGTGTGCGTGTGTGTATGTGTGTGTTTCAGGAAGGTTAATGACATTGAAACTCAGGAGACAGCAGGAAAACCCAGTGACGCTTTTTGGACTATCTATTTTCTGGGAGACAAAGGTTTCCTTTATCAGAATCACCAGAATAAACTTTCCCTTCTTTTCAGAAACAGGATCTTCCTATGTAGCTCAGGCTAGCCTCCAACTTGTTATCCTCCTGCCTCTGCCTCCTGAGTGCTGAGATTACAGGCGTGAGCTGCTGTGCCAGCTGCAGAAAGGAGACATTTTCTATGTGAGTTCTTAGAACTTCAAAATATAATTCTTTATAACAAGGTAACAGGAGACCTATCTTTTCCACTTTAACATTAGTTTGGTAGAAAAACTCGGGCAGTGTATACAGCAATATGTATCACTCATATGAAAGATGGCCTGCAGCTAGAACTTACTACCTTATGAAAAATATTAAAGGTGGGAAACGATACACTTTTATAAAAATGTGCATTAAGCAAAACAGAAAGCTATTGGAACAGTCCCCTTTCTACCACGTTTCATAACATCTTTTTGCTGTTCCGTGAACTATGTTCACCACCCCAATGCTCTGCCCAAGGTAACAGTCTCACTACACATAGACAGCTAGACTACAGTTCCAAGAAGCTGATTTCAGTGTCTGAGGACCCTACTGTGCTGTTTCAGAGGATGGTTCCAATGCACTTGACAAGTCACACATTCATAACTTCATTCCTGAGACAGTTCTGTTCCTCAGTTTATTACTTGTTAATTGTTCCTTGTGCTCATGGATGGATCGCCCCGCACCTTCTTGTTATCTATCAGTACAGTCTGAATACAGACAGGCTGCTTTTCAGCCCCTCTTCAATGGGAAATACAAATAATGATTTACCTACAGGCCTCCTAGCAGCGCTCAGGATTTGCCTGAACTCTGAGCCTCCCGATTTTATGAGGGATCAGAAGGCACTGTGCAAAGTGATGCTTCATCTCCTGGTGGGAAACAAATGAGTTCATCCCAGGAGGTCTGACCTCAGACAGCCAGATTTGTAAATCCACTACTCAGCTCCCAGGGAGAAAAACCTTCCCCAGACATTGCTTGGAAGACTGGCAGCTAGAGCGCAGGCAGGCAAATGAGTGTTAATCCACTGAGCCACAGTGTCTGGCTCCTACCCTGAACTACTTGAATTCATAAGGAGGCTTCAGATATGATGAATTATCTCAAATTGAAAACTGATGCACATTTTTTTTTTTTTAAAAAGGGAAGCCCTTAATTTAAAATTACGTGATGACTCACCACTCAGGTATCTATCCAGTATTTACTATGTGTTAGGCAATTTACTGGGCACTGGGAAGGATAAGCCAGAGCAGTCCCTGCTCTCAGTGAAATTATGTGTTCCCAGAGTCTCTTCTCTCTTATTTCTTAGAAAAATAGATAGTGAAAGTATCTTTGAAATGTTTCTCGATTTGAAATACCACCTGGGAAAACTAATAATGAAAACAAACACCACCGTCTTAATAATATAGTATGCATACATACTGGCGGGTTTTATCTGTTTGACGCACACCTACACACACCTGGGAAGAGGGATTTCTGGCTGAGGAACAGCCTACATCAGATCAGCCTCTGGCTATGTCTAGGGGGACATTTTCTTAGTTGTTAATTGATGTAGGAGGGCCCAGTCCATTGTGGGCAGGTGCCATCCCTAAACATATGACAAAGGTAGCTGAGCAAGCCACGAGGAACGAGCTAGCAAGCAGTGTGCCTCCAGTTCCTGCCTGGAGTTCCTACCCCAGCTTCCCTTGATGATGGACTGTAACCTATTAGCCAAATAAACTCTCTCCTCCCAAGACGCTTTTGGTCGTGGTGTTTATCACTGAAAGAGAAGGTGAACTGGGACCCTGTACACTGAAGGTTTTGATACATCACCTTCTCCCTTCAGCCTATTACAGTACTTGGTATCTAAAACACTTAAAGCAACACTTACCTAAGAAACGGAGGAACATGACGGAGCATAATAAAATAAAGGCAGGCACGCTGCCACGCGCTCCAGAAGGGCAAAGCCTCACTCCAGAAGCAAGCAATGAAGCAGATTCGATTTTTTGGCGTTCAACCCCACAGGTTCTGGGATCCTGATCCTCCTGGTGTTAGAGCAACTGTTCACCACTGTGGCCCAGGGAACTGAAAAAGCCCAGATGCCCAGCAGGCAGGTGGGACATTCATTTCCCCCTGCACTTGGCACAATGCTACGAGCAGCGTGTGCAATACCGTCTGGGCTATTCTCGGTGGCTCCTTTTCAGGGACCACAGCGTCAAGTCTTGGAGCTGTCCCTACACCCTATCCTTGGTGGCACCGGGGTCCCGCTTCCTCCCTTTCCTTATCTTGATCTTTTACATGAGACCCATGCCTCCCTGCTCTTCCAAACATGCCTCTCCACCATCACTCTGACATGTACCTCGTATGCATGAAGTTGAGGAAGGCGCTCTTCATTCTGTGCTGCTGTGCACTCTAACCTGACCCAGTTTGCCCTGCTTGGTCCGAGATCACCGGAGTTCTAACTCTGTCACTTCTTTCTAGGTGCCTTGCAAGTACCATGTCACAGCAAAGAATTAAGTGGCTTCCCGAGTTGTGCATCACACAGACACACAAACACTGGCTAAGACACAGCCACTGCAAAAGGGCAACACATAAAACGCAAAAAGCAGTGTGCAGGGTGTGTGGGATGATTTTCTCAAAGTTTGTTTTTAGATTTGTTTGTTTTATGCAATATCAGTATTTTCGCTCCATGTATGTAAGGCATGGGATCCTTTGGAACTGGAGTTAGGGATGGCTGTAAACTACCATGTGGGTGCTGGAACTGAACCTGGGTCCTCTCTGCAAGAGCTCTTAACTGTATCATTTGTTTTAAACAGTAAGGACTATGGACTAGTGAGAAGGTTCAGTGAGTAAGAGTACTTGCTGCCCCAGCCTGCTGACCTGAGTTCGATCCCTGGAACCCAGGTGGTGGAAGGACAGAACTGATTCTTTTTTTTTTTTTTTTTTTTGGTTTTTCAAGACAGGGTTTCTCTGTGTAGTTTTGGTGCCTTTCCTGGAACTCACTTTGTAGACCAGGCTAGCCTGGAACTCACAGAGATCCGCTTGCCTCTGCCTCCCGAGTGCTGGGATTAAAGGTGTGCGGCACCACTGCCCGGCTCAGAACTGATTCTTGAAAGTTGCCCTCTGACCTCCACATCCATGCCATGGCATGTGTGTGCACACACATTCAACAAATGAAGAAATGTAAAAATGACAACAGCAACAAAACCAAAAACCCAATTAGAGTTTGCAGGTGGAGAAATACCCATCAGCTATAGACGAGCTCTCCAGATAAAGACACAAGCGGGAAGATAAAATTTAGATGCAAACATAGATGGTCCCCTTTCTACGATCTGTACCTGTTCCCTGGAACTGAAAATCCACACACATGCGTCTACTTACAACACTCTTCAACAAGTTACAGACTTGTGGTCAAGGTCAACGCTCCCTTTTCCATTCTCCAAGTATGGCTTGATCTTCACTGCCAGGACCTTCTGCTTCAGTCTTCTTCCTCGCTCAATGACTCACCTCTACCAGATTAACTATTATTTTTATGAACACATCCTAACATGTCACGGAAGCCCCATCGCAGACAGCTTCCTCACCTACGCATCTGTTTTGTGCTATTATTCGGGGACCTTTACTTCACTTCTTACGTGTCAGCCTTTGGAGGGCAGGCCTGACTTGGTCATTGTTCACGGGATACTATCTTGGCTTTGGCCACCCAAAGCGAATAGACACGAAGGTGGGGAGACTGTAGAAGGGCGTAAGATGCAGAGCCTTGATGGTACTGCTGTATTACACACCATTACAGGCTGCCCAAAGATCTCTCAAGAGAAGGAAAAAGTATCAGGGTTTGAGGATGAGGAATTAAAACATTTGCAATCAGGTCATCTTACAGGGAATTTCTGTCCCACAGCCAACTTCTAAGCCTTCTCCCCAATGACTTCTTCACCATCTCTCAACACAGACGGCCGGCCGGCCTTGCAGCTTCCCCCAAATCCCTGATCACCAATGCTCCTCTCTGCTGCTTGCGTCATCATGACTATTTTAAGCAGGTGCAAAATCCTCACCTCCCCTGTTTTGTCTTCCACCTTCAATTACAGTGGATATTTGCAGAGTCAAGGTAGCCACCTTGCTTTAAAGTATTTGCAGGTCAGTTGTCCTAGATGTTAGTCTGCTAAGTATTTCATCCTAGTAGTTAGGGCATCAAAAAGAAAAAAAAAAAAAAACAACTCACAAAAACAAACAATAAGAGCCCTTTTATAGCAGGCACAGTTATTTCGTATCAGCTTAGCCTAATTTTCAAAAACTCTTTAAAACAGAGATATGTATTAACACTGGAAGCTAAAGCAGATATAGAAGGCTTAATACACTAAATGCGAGGTTCTATATGAATGAGCCGCAGGCCACCAGCAACCCCCTGACCCAGGGTTTTTGTGAAGCAGATTTTCTGTCTCCTAACACTAAGGAAATCAGACAGCAATTTCTTTTAGCCAACACGTGTGTCAAGTGTGAGTGAGTTTACATTTATGCTGTTCAGAGCTGTACGCACAGTTAACGCAGAACGATGGTAATAGAGTGTACAACATTATCTTTAAACCTCACACCAATGAAGTGTTTCTACGGATATCTGATACAGAAAAGGGAAGAAGGAGATGAAGAACATAGTCACTTACATCGAGAGAGCCTTCATTGATAACGATCATTCCCATGTTCTTCTTCAGAAGTCTACAGGAGTGTCCTGGGGACACACAAGAAATAGGCACCGTTAGTTTTTCCGGAAAGAAGCGAAGCTGGAAAGCAATGGCATGATCAAACACCAGAGGAGGACTCTCACGGACAGGGAAGGGTATCGGCTGTTTTCCAGACCAAAAGGAAGTTAAAAATAAAATATTCTTGTTGCCCATTAGGAGGGGTGTGAGGGTAAGGACATCATTTGTAGCCTCCTCAGTAAACAATAGGGAACAATTGCGTTTAGTGTCTCCACGTCCTGAAAGCAGCCAAGCATGTGCACTGTATCCTTTGTGATGGTCGATATGGAGAGTCAAGGCTGGCCAGTGGATATCTGCAGAGAAAGGTTCAGGAGGGTGGGTGATTCTCTTGGACCTGCTGGCCCCCACTATCTCCCTGTCCTGGATGGTCGTGGCATCATTTTCTTGCCCTTCTTTCTCTTACTTTGTTGTATTCCCTCCGTGACAAAGGCACTTCTGTATTAAATCCAAGTCTGCCTATTCTATTGGCTTGATACAGTTGATATAGCGGAAGAAACACAGGCAACCCTACCTGACTCATCTCACACTAACAAAAATGATAACAGTGTCATTGACACTCATTGCCTCTGTAATCCCGGTGCCTTGCTCAGCCATCATCAGAGAAGCTTCCTCCCTTCGCAGATGGGAACCAATACAGAGACGCACAGCCAGACATTATGCAGAGGAGAGACCTTGGAACACTAAACTCCAAATGGGATGCCTCCACTAAATCCCTTCGCTCAGGGCTCGGGGAACCCTGGGGAAGAGGAGGCAGAAAGAGTGTAAAAGCCAGAGGGGATGGAGGACACCAAGGAAACAAGGTCCTCTAAATCAACGGGATCTATGTGCGTGTGAACTCACAGAGACTGAGGCAGCATGCACAGGGCCTATACCTGTCTGCACCAGATGGGGTCCTAGAGTTGAAAGGAGAAGTGGACACCTGCCCCCATCTTTAACCCAGAAGCTAGCTCCAATTGGTAGCTGCTTGTAAATAAAACTTTAGTTTTCTCCAGGGGGGAAAAAAACTTGCATAATGTCATGTCAGGGCTTAAGCATGTTTTTAATGTTACTTTTATTATATATATATACTTCTTTTTATCCTACAGGTCCTTTATGTACATATTATAGCTTCCAGTTTAGTGTTTTCATGGGTTTCCTGAGTGCGCGAAGGGCTGGGTCTCTGCTTCTCTATCTATTTTTTGTACCCTCTCTTGGGCTCTTTTCCTTCTGTTTGTTTCGTCCTGTTCCAACGCGTTAGTTTTTCTTTTATCTTATTTTACTATCATCCCCAGAAGGCTGTTTGTTTTCTAATGAGAGACAGAAAGGGGCTGGATCCAGATGGGAGGGGAGGTGTGGAGGAACTGGGAGGAGTAGACGGAAGGGAAACTGTAATCAGGATATATCACGTGAGAAAAATTCTGTTTTCAATAAAAGGAAAGAAATTAAAAAAAAAAAAATTGGGAAACGAGCCACCTCTCACCACTGCCATTTGGTGGAAGCCGCCATTACAGCCCCCTGGATCAACGTGGCAGCGTTCTCCCTGGCTACTCTGCTTCCACGTCACTTCTGTACTCTGGCACACAGTCTGTGTCCACAGGAAACGCATCACGTCTTTCCCTCTGGAGTAGCATCCTGTGTGCTCCCTGGACAGAAAGGGCAGACCCCGAGGCTCTTCGGGGCCCGGCGCTGCCATCCCGCCTGGCTCCTACAATGCTCTCTCTGCAACAGACGACAACGGCTGCCTTGTCACCTACAGCAAACTCCTCCCCTCAGGTCTGTCCTCACATGTCACCTTCTGCATGAATCCTTCCTGATTTCCCCCTGTGCAGTGCCCTATCCCATATGACAGTGTGTGTGTGTGGTGTGCGTGTGTACATGCATGCACCTGTATGTGGGGCCAGAGGCTGAATGTGAGTGACATTCCTCAAGTGCCATCTCCCTTCTTTTGTTGAGACGGAGTCCTTCACGGGTTTGGAGCTCACCCAGTAGGCCAGGCTGAGTCCATGCCTGCCCACCTGTGTCACTGGGATTACAAACATACACTGGCTGTTTTATGTGGGTTCTTGTGGAGCAAGCATGGACACAGTCCTTTCCCTAGTCCCTTGACATATTTTTTTTTTTTTTTTTTTTTTTGGTTTTTTGAGACAGGGTTTCTCTGTGCAGCTTTGCGCCTTTCCTGGAACTCACTCTGTAGCCCAGGCTGGCCTCAAACTCACAAAGATTCGCCTGCCTCTGCCTCCCGAGTGCTGGGATTAAAGGCGTGAGCCACCACCGCCCCGCAAAGATTTTGTTTTGTTTTGGAGAAAGGACATTTTTTTAAAAAATAGTAATCATTGCTTTCTAAAATGTCTGTGTAGTGATTATCTATATTGTTCTAGTATTAAATAAAACTCGAGAGTCAGATATCAGGGGAAAATTCCGATTGATCAGAGAAGCAGCAAAGTAGCGACCAGTAACCTCCCTTCTCTCCTTCTTCAATCCAAAAGGGCCATGAATCTTTCTAAGCCCCTCCCTACAACTTCCTGTGTATGTCTCTATACCCTGTGTCCTCCAAAACCTCTATGGCTAATTCCGGTCAGCTCGTAGTTAACTCTGCCCTTTGATTCAAGGTAAACGTTATTGGCAGTCTCAAGAATGTCAGAGTGCGATCAAAATATCCCACAACAGCTTTGCACTTTTCTAATTAGTTGTCTGTTTCCCTGACTTCAGCTCCCAAGACAGATATTTGGTTTCTTCTGTTCCCTACCTTTTCTTGCACTTAACTGGAACCTAGTACTGTGATACAATATGGACACAATGGCCATTGCCTGGATGAATGAACCCTCTCTACCATTTTCTGGGAACAATCAGGGCCCAAAGCTTTACAGTTTAAATGTCACTTTTGTAAGAAAAAAAAATGTATGGAACTAGAAATCAGACTCAGAAAAATAAATACTACACAGGGTTTTTTCTTTTATGACTTCAAAGTGTGTATGTGTAGGTCATGAAACTAGAAAGAGGTCATGAGAAGTGAGGAAGTAGTCTTGAGAAGGGGGAAAGAGAGTAATGGACCCTTGTGATAAGAAAGTCAACCAGGCAGACTATCTGGGGGAAGGAGGGAACCAGTGGAGGGGGCAGGATGCACAAGAGGGCAGAGGAACAGCTGAGAACAAAGGAAGACATCTAAGTATGGGAAGCTACAAAAAAAAAAACCACACTGCTTGTATGCCAACCTAAAAATCAATAAATCAAATCTCTATTAATTACACAGACCTTGTGATGGCTATTCCTGGTTGTCAACTTGACTACATCTGGAATTAACCAAAACCCAAGCAGTTGGGTACACCTTTGAGGGATTTTTTTTCTTGATTAAATCATTTGAAGTGGGAAGATCTATGCTTAATATGGATTTTTGAGGTAGGAAGATCCACCTTTAAACTTGGCCACACTGTCTGTTGGCAGCTTAGATGAAGGACATGGAGGAAGGCAGCTTTTTGTCTGCTTGCTTTCACCCTTGCTAGCAAGTTCAATCCTTCACTGGCATTAGAACCTACTTCTTTGGGATTCTGGTATGTGCTGAAGATCAGCTGAATCATCCAGTTTTGTGGACTGAACAACTACTGGATTCTTGGAGTCTCCATTGGTAGACAGCCATTGCTAGACTAGCTGGACCACAGCCTGTAAGCCATTCTAATAAATTATATATTATTTATTATATATAAATTGGAATTATATATATATCTGTATCTACATATCTAGAGGAACAAAACTTGTAGAATGAATATATATATATATTCATTATATCACACACATATAATATATATTCATTATAACACACATACACATATATATAAAATCAGAGAAGTGGCAGAGAAATATATATATATGTATATGTATATGTATATGTATATGTATATGTATATGTATATGTATATATTCTACAAGTTCTGTTCCTCTAGGGAATCCTAACACAAATTTACTATACATTTATGGTATAGTTTTTATACTCCAAGGACAATTTAGGCTGACTGCTAAAACTTCTAAATGGACTATTCACTAAATGTACTTGAGATTAAGAGACCCTAGCAATGACCTTCTAAAAGTATGGTTCCATGCAATGTATAACATGAATGTTCAACTTTGGGCTATATTTGTTCAATATAGAAGTGAATCTATCTCTTACAGTGTTTGGGCTATTCATCCATGGTTACTGACACTGGGAAAATAACAATTCTTCCTTTTCTATATTATTAGTATTACAGGTTTTGTTTATTTTTATTTTATTTTTAAAAAGATTTATTTATTTATTTATTATGTATACAATATTCTGCCTGCAAGTGTCCCTGCAGGCTAAAAGAGGGCACCAGATCTCATTACAGGTGGTTGTGAGCCACCATGTGGTTGTTGGGAATTGAACTCAAGACCTCTGGAAGAGCAGTTGGTGTTCTTAACCACTGAGCCATCTCTCCAGCCACAGTATTACAGGTTTTGAACAACACCAAACACTTTCTTCTTTGTGAGACTTTATTATAAATCACACTGAATCTCTCCCATCTTCAAATGTATATGCTGAGGCCTTGATTCTCCCCCACTGTGGCCTGCATATGGATAAGGGGCCTTTAAGGAGGTAATTAAAGTTAAATGCAGTTGTGGCCTGCTATGGTCTGAAAAGTCATGTATTGCCTCAAATTCCAGATTTCTACTTTCCAAAAAATGTGAGAAATACAATTTTGTTATTTAAGCCACCTAGCCTGTGATACTCTATTATAGCACCTTGAGAGGACTAACACAAAGACTTTGCAAGATTTGGGAACTGCCTGTAGGGTGAAAGCCAACTGATAGCTAGGTGTTAGAAACACCTTCTGGCCATAGCAAGCAGATCTAGCACATAAACAGGTCATTGGTCCAATTCTAGACTCTTAAAGACAACTGAAGAAATGTTACATTCATGTGCCACTGATGAATCGAATGTCCAGCCAGCAAGATGCAGGGTCTGAGAGGGTATGTGTGGTCATATGAGCTAGTTTGGCTGTACACAAAACCCTGCCACTTTCAAGAGGGCATTGGGGCCATGAGTAAACAAAGAGGTGAGCCTAATCACATCACACATTTAGAGTCTTGAAATATCAAGTCTTAAAATATCTTGTTGTGGATGAGGAGAGGTTGCCTCCTCCCGTGTTCTCTCTGATCCCAACTACAAGCAGTGATCTCAGCTCTTGTGTTCCAGAAGAATTCACAGTCGGGGACAGGTGTAGCAAGCAAGGTGTCAGGGCTTATTTCAGCAGGTGAGAAAGTAGAAGTGGAAAGCAAGTTTCTTCCCCCGAAGGGTGGCTCAGGCACAGGGATGCCTCTAGTCCCTAGACTAGATATCTTGGTCTACAGTGTCTACTTTTCTTGCCACCTGTCTGAGCTAAGTTCCCAGTGCTGTGATAAACACCTTGACCAACAGCAACTTGGGGAGGAGAGGGTTTATTTCACCTTTCAGTTCTATACCGCAGCCCATCATCTAAGAAAGTCAGGGCAGGAACCTGGAGGCAGGAGCCTGGATGCAGGACCTAAAGCAGAAGCTGTGGAGGAACATTTCTTACAGGCTTGTTCCCCATGGCTTGCTCAGTTTGCTTTCTTACATCATTTAGGACCATGGGCCAGGGGTGGCAGTACTTCCAGTGGACTAGGCTTTCCCACATCAATCATCCATCAAGAAAATGCCCTGCAGCCTTGTCTACAGGCAAACTGATGGAGGCATCTTCTCAACCGACATTCCTCTGTAGTTAGAATTTTTTTCTTTGGACTGCCAACCAGCTCCCAAATAAAGACAGAGATTTATGAATGCTCAGCTTAGGCTTGTCCCACTAGCTCTTTTAACTTAATTTAACCTGTCTTTATTCAACTAAATTTTGCCACAGGGCTTTTAACCTTTCTTTCATTTAGTATGTCCTACTTTCCTGTTTCCTCTATGTCTGTCTGCCTGGCCTCTGGTGTCTCCCTGGCATCTCTCTTTTTTCTTCTCTTCAAGCCTAAATTCTTCCTCCTACTTACTCTCTGCCTGGAAGTCCTGCCTATACCTCCTCCTCCCTTGCTATTGGCCATTCAGCTTTAGCAATTGGGTGCCTTAGGCAGGTCAGGAAAAGCAGCAGCACATCTTTACATAGTTAAACAAATATTCCACCACATTCTCCTTCCCAGATCACTCTAGCTTGTGTCAAGCTGACAAGAAACTAGCCAGGACACCACTGCTGGGACGACGTCTGAGATAATCTTCTTCCTGGAATAGGAAGAGGTTTTCTCAGATGTTATCCTTTCACACGTTTCAGTCTGTTAGAATTAAGTACATTAGATAAAAAGAATACGCCTAAAGTTGAGACATTCACTAAGGGAAAGGGCAGTGATGTCATGTACCTGCCCCAGGTTGGAGGGCGGGGCTTCATGCAAGGCGGGCAGAGCCGGTCGAGATTGGCTTTATTGCTTTTCCTACAGCTCTGTCCCCCCTCTTGAATCTGTTCAGATTAACTATGTCATGCTCAGATGAGAGCCCTTGTCCTTAGTGTCCCCAGCCTCACAGTTTCAACACATCTTTAATTTATCTTACTAAAACACTTTGGCCTGTCAGAGAGTATCAGGACTTAAAACTTAAGTGGGATGAATTACCAATATTAATGGCGGTTTCTTGCTTGTCCCCAGTAAGGATCCATATTTTGATGTCAGCTTTCATTAGCGTCTCTATGGTTTCGGGAACTTGGTCTTGTAATTTATCCTCAATGGCTGTAGCTCCAAGTAGCTGAAGATTCTGGGGGGAAAAAAAGTGTTAAAAATTTGAAAGGGAAAACTACTTGACTGGGTAAGGACAAAAGCTGAAAAATGTTAAAATCAGAGACAAAGGCAACTCATGGACTTGGACATAAATCCCAACCATCCTGCTGTTTTCTTTCTTAAGGATCCTTGACTTTAATCCAATTATTTTGGCTGAGAATGAGACTTCCTGAGGCTGATTTACCTTAACTCTTTCTAAAGTAAGGTTCTGATCCATAAAATAAAAACAAACCCCAAATCTCTCCCCTACCCTATAATCAAGGGGCATTAAAAAGTCAGCTGAAAAAGAGTAGGTGGTTACTGGAAACAAATCAGGGAGAAACAACCTTGACCTGTTTAAAAACAGATTACATTTCACTTTGATGCAGTGTCAGGAAATGTACACACAACAGAACTAAACATGATGAGGTGGGGACAACAAACTGAGCGATAGCATGAGTCTCTAAGAAAACACAGCTTGAGTGCTTTTCACATGGCTTTAGACTTGCATGCTGGAAGATGAGATCATCTCAGGGCGCTAGTGTAGTGGGCACTATCTTTCACATAAAACCGAATATACTCAATAGAGGCATGCCTCATGCTTTGAGTTTGGTTCTAGAACCCCATGATTGTGGTGGTTTGCAAGTAAATGGCCACCAAAGGGAGTGGCACTGTTAGGAGGCGTGGTCTCATTGGAGGAAGTGTGTCACCACGGAGGCGGACTTTGATGCTTCATATATGGTCAAGTCACACCTAGCGAGACAGACCACTTCCTGTTGTCTGCAAGTCAAGATGTAGGACACTCGGCTGCCCCTCATGCCAGCCTGCGCATCACCGTGTTGCACCATGATGATAATGGAGGACACCTTTGAAAATGTAAGCCACCTCAATGAAATGTTCTTCCTTTGTAAGAGTTGCTGTGGCCATGGTGTCTCTTCACCTGACTAAGATAACAACACAGCAAAAAGCCTAAGGAAGCAAGTCACATGAACTTTTTGTTTTCTTCAGTAAGTATATCTTATGCTCATACTACACTATAGCCCCTTTAGTGTGTAATACCATCATGTATGAAAAAACAATGCAAATATTTTAATTCAAAATACTTTATTATTGCTAAAAAAATGTTAATGGTCACCTGAGCCTCCGGGAGTTTGATTGTTTTTGCCAATGAAGCATCTTGCCTTGATGTTGATAGCTCCTGACAAGTCAGCTGAGGAGGCTTGCCAATTAAAATAAGACAAGGGAATCTCCCACGTGGTCTATTCATTCCATGAACTGTTTTCTCTGCAGCATGCAATGCTGTTTGATGGTCTTTTATCCACAGCAGAACTTTTTCAAAGTTGGACTCAATCGTCTCAAAACTTGCTACTGCCTTCCCAGCCAAGTTTCTGAATTCTTTTGTTATCACTTCAACAATTTTCATAGCATCTTCCTCGGCAATAGATTCCACTACAAGAAAGCCCCCCCCCTTTACCTGTCCATTCAAGGTTTATCATATGACTATGGAAATTCATTTGCAGTCTCTAGCTCTTTTGCTATGCCTGCCATATGCCGTTACTCCCTTCCCGGAAGTCTTGAATCCCTGAGAGTAATCTCTGAGGGCTGGAGTCACCCTTTTCCATGATCCTTTAATGTGTTATTATTTTTACTTCATCCAATGAATCACAGTGGTGTCTAGGATGGTGACTTGTTTCCAATAGGCTTTCAATTTACCCAGATCTATCAGAGAATCACTATTGTACCTATATCCATTACAGAAAGTATTTAAGTATTAAGCCTTAAAGGTTGAGCTTGTTCCTTGATTTGTGGGCTGCACAGTGAGTGTCATGCTGGCAGGCATGAAAACATTAATCTTCCTATGTTTATAAGTCTGTTAAAATCATTGGCTGACCAGGTGCATTGTCAATGAGTAATAATATTTTAAATTATTTTTTTCCCCAAGCTGCTTGTCTCAGTAATGGGTATCAAATGTTCAGCACATCATGTTATAAACAGATACATCACCCAGGCTTTGTTGTTCCATACACAGAACACAGACAGAGTAGATTCACTACAGTATAACCCTTCAAGGCCCAAAGACTTTCAGAATGGCAAATGAGCACCGGTTTACCTTAGTCACCCACTGTAAATGTCTCAATTTGTCCCTTAGAAGCCAGGCAATGATTTCTCCTCTCTAGCTATGAATGTTTTGGGTGCCGTCTTTTTCTAATTAGAAGTCTGTTTGATCTTCACTGAAAGTCCATTTGCTAATACAGACGTCTTCATCAACTATTTGAGCTAGACCTTCTGGATATCCTCTTGTAGCTTGTGCATCAGCACTGACTGGTTGGCCTTGAACTTCCATGTGTGGAGATGGATTCTTCACTTAAAGCAGTGGAGCCAACCTGTTGTCTTTGACCCCTGCTCTGCAGCATCCTCATCTCTATTTACTTTCACAGAACTGAAGAGGTCAAGAGCTTGCTTTGGAGTGTGAGAAATCCATCACTGAACCACCCATGCCAAGAGCTTGCTCTGAATTAGGCTTTGGCTCATAGGAACGTTTTAGCTGGTTTGATCTCCTAACAAACCACAAAGACGTTCTCCATATCAGCGTCAGGATATTGTTTTACTTTTGTATCATTCTTGTGTTCACTGGAACTAGACTTTAACACCCTTTAAGAATGATAGTCACAGCTTGGCTAGTTTGTGAAAAAAGACAAACCTTTAGCCTTTCTTGGCTTCAGGTAGACTTTCCTTGCTTAGTTTAATAGTCTCCAGCTTTTGATTTCAAATGAGAGACACTCAACCTTTCCTTTTGCTTAAATAATCAGAAGTGACAGTAGAGTGAATCTACTTTAAATATTGAAGCTCAGAGACCAAGTCCCATGGAGAGGGAGGAATGGCTGGCTGATGGAGCCATGAGAACACACACGTTTATTCAGCTTATGGTGTTTCAAAACAAGTACAATAGCAAAGTTTACTGAACAGAGATTATCGTAACAAATGCAATAATCAAGACAGGTCTGATTATTATGCAACAATAAAGGCAAACATCTCAGGAATCACCAAGACTCAACAGTAAGACATGAAGTGAGCACATGCTACATGTGTATGTAGTTTATGCCTGCAGCAGCTGGGGGCGCCTCTAGCTGCAATAGAAAACTCTAGCAATGACTTAGGAGACGGTTTAGTTTCCCTTACATAAGTAGGCTGGCGGTAGGTAGCGTCTGGGAACTCAGCCACATCTTCACATTCAACTCCACATTCAATTCTCCTAATATCTCAGAGTGGTCGTCCTGGGCACAACTAAAATGGCCATTCTGAAGGCAGGAACAAGGAGTCAAGAGCAAGTAGATCTGTTTCTCATTTTGGAAAACAGAACTGTTTCTACATATTTCAACATATTTCCAAACAAAGCTAGTTGGCCGGGCTATGTTATAGGGCTGTCACTAATTATGTATTTAGTTTTCTTAGCCTCTATACTGGATCTGTCAAGACAGAAGGATGGGTGGGAACGAGTGCTTCATTAGCCTGCCAATAGCCTCTTCCACAAGGGACACACAGAGGGCCAAGTATATGAAAGGTATTTGCATAGTATGTTTATACATTTAGCCCCGCCTCCTTCCTCAGTCCCTTCTCTATACCTGACTTATACAATGAAGCCAAATTCAAAGTTATTGCTTCTTTGAGCTTTCTGCTCAGAATTCAGCTTTTACATGTTTTCACTTACCATACAGATTGAATACTTATAATGGAAAAATCTGAAATCTGAAATGGCACAAAATCTGTATGTGTTTGCGTACCAACAAGATGCCACAAGTGGGAAATTCTATACACGACCTCAGGTAACAGGTGGGAGTCAAAATGTAGGCACAACAAGATGTGGACAATCACAACATAAAATCACCTTCAGACATGTGAGTGAGAGGTATATGAGAAAAATGAATTCCATGTTTAGATTTGGGTCCCAGTCCCAAAGAATCTCATTATGTAGACAAAGTCCCAAATCTGGGGGCAAAAACCCAACCCAACCCAACCCAAACCAAAACAACAACAACAAAAGCCCAACAACTCGGAAACACCTTTGGTCCCGAGCATGTCACACAAGGGACACTCAACCTGTGTTTAAATCTGGTGTTTGTGGGACTCTGGTAGGCTTGTTGAAATGTAGGATCACGTTATTTATCTTTGCATCCCAATGGCATCGAAAGTGAGCACTGGGCATATTCATGAAGTGACAAACAAGACAAAATTTAAACCCAAAAGTTCCAAAATACTGCTACCACGGAGACCACTTTCTTTTCAGTATGTTCCCAGTCCCCTGAACAGCTATGGGACACAACTGATGTGTGACACTTAGTATATGACAGAGAAAATGAGAAGGTACAGCTTTTTTTTTTTTTTTTTAAATGGAAGACAGTATTATTCTATTATCTCTAGTAGGAAGCAGATTTGAAATCTACCATACCCTGATGAATAATTATCACTGAGGCAAGGAGAAGAGGCAGAGCGGCTCATCGTCGGTGAAGCCGTATCACTACCGCTGTATCCCAACGTGCACACAGTGATTCTATCTGTTCCTGAGTCGACTTTAGGGTATTTGCAGTTACGACATTATGGCTCATATCCCCTCCAGGATAAAGATGGAGCTGGGTTCAAATTTTAAATTTTCTATAGTGGCTTGATAAGGCCTTTTAACATTCATGGAGATTGTTCAGAGACAAAACCTTGAATGTTTCTAAATTGGAAAAAGATGATCTTTTGTAATATGTTTCACAAAACACTGAGGTACCTAGATAATTAGTGTGAGTCAAGATATGAACAAAGTCATGAGAATTATATAAACACATATATTTGTGTAGTTCCCAGCTAAACTCTTGGGGGGGAAATGAGCTCAGAAAGTACATAGGTCCACATTACCACACACAAAGTTATAAAAATAAAATGACTTCACTGGAGAGATCATGAAGAAATCCTGTTTGAAAGAAGGAGACAGTCTGGTTTTATGCGGACAAAGGA